TACTTGCATTTTTACATGCTTTTGAACTGCTAGGTTGGCAGAAGCTGGGACAAGTAACGGGAGCTCACTCCGTTATGCGGCGCTAGGGATTTGAACTGCCAATCTTTCTGATTGACAAACTCAGCCTGGACAGCATACAAGGCAACAATTAAAAACTCTATGACAATTTAAAAATCAAAATAAGTACAGTTAAACTGATAAAACCCAAGAGTAGGGGAATAAACATCACTTAATCTTTTCCAGCTACTTTATTAAGAGTTTTTGAAAGTATGAAAGCGTTACATCATTTTGTAAACTTTAACTTGACCCAAGGCTAAATGCTGTCTCAAAAGAGCTTCTAGGATCGTGTTTGCCCTATGGCCAAAATGGGTTATTAACTTTATTACTGTGCAATATTAAACAAAAATATTGAGAAGATTATAATTTGTTATAATAATATATGAGTTGCTTTGTAATGCCAATATAAAATAGTTGTTCAAGAACTAAGACATTTGAAGTAACGTTTCAGAATTCTAGCTTAAGATTGCTGCTTTGTTTAATAATATATAATGAACTACCTTCTTATGCTTCCTACCTAACAAATGTATATTTTAGTGAAACATTGCAAAGTATGTTACTTTCCAGTAGCATGCTCCAAACAAGGCCCTAGGGGGTTAAATATAGTACATTTAAGGAAACTCTGCTAAAGTAATTAGGCTACCAAATTTGACTCGCATGACTGTATTTATAACCTAGGAGGAAATATTTTCCAGACCCCTTATGCCTATTTTTGTATCAATGTTAATCCTTATAGTTCTTGGCTATTTTTCTGCCAGGAAAACTGGATCCTAAGTTGCTTTAAATATATACTACATAAAGTATAAATACAAGTGGCAGCAGACTTATGAAACTTTACAGAGTTAAGTGAGAAGTGCTATTGGTCTTGACACTTTGACAAAATTACCTGGAATCAAAGGCATTAATTGATTATAGCTTGAATTTTATATCAGGCTCAAAATCTCCAGGCAGCTATCATGTGCTGCAAATCTGCACCTGATTTGCTTTGTTCAGGATTACAGTGGGTTTGCTTTTAATATTGTACAGGGTAGAAACACACTACTGAATGCAATTTGCAAATGATAGTTCAGCTAGTTTTAAGTTAAATCTATTCTCATATCAAAATTACTCTGATCAGCATATATTTAAGCACACTATTAATATTTTCACACTCATAATATTTATAAGGGGGAAAAATGCAAAAGACATGCAGAAATTCATGACTTTGGAGATACACCCAGAGTTCTGTCTGATGTTTGTGTGTGTGTTTGTGTGTGTGTGTGTGTGTGTGTGTG